GTGATGAACGCTCCCCTCTGTGAGGCAGCCACGTCAGAAAATCTTGGAGAAGATTAGGATCCCCCCTCTCTAGGTCCCTTGGTGCCTTGGATGTGGCATGGTGGACCCAGAACGCATCCTTTCCGGTCTGATAACTCCTTCGACGCCCTGGCCAGAGGGCGCATGTCTTTCCTTAAGGCTGTGAGCCCCGGAAGGCTGTCCAGTCCCCACCTCTGTCCCCGGAGAAGATGACCCCAGGGCGAACTGCCGCCTTTCCCCCGCGGAGCTGCCATTCCGCGAGCGGCCGCCAGGGGGTCCCCGCTCGGCGCCCCCGCGCGCCCGCCGCGCGCCCAGTGCGTTGGGGGCTCTTCGGGAGCAGAGAGCCTGCACCGGAGCCCCGGGCGCGCTCGCTGGTCCCGGAGACCCGGTGCGGATCCCCAGGAGGCGCCTCTCCGGCTCCGAGCTCGCCCTCTCCTCCCGCCGGCTGCAGCTCACCCGCCGCAGGGCCCCGGGCAGAAGGTAAAACCCCGCGGAGAAGGAGAACACGCTCCGGGCGAGGGAGGAGGTGGCGCCGCCCGCGGCCGCTCACGCCCGGTCGCGCCCAGGCGGGCAGGGTGCTGGGCGCACCTGGGAGCGGGTGCGAGGGGGGAGGGGGCGGGGGGTGAAGTGGGGGTGCGGGAGGTGGCGGACCCTGCTTCCCCGCCTGCCCGCGGCTGCTCCCGGCCGGCTTCTCGCACGTCCTGTCCGGTCCCCACCCTGAGTCCGGGGCCTGGATTTTAAGAGATAGATCACCGTAACCCTTCTCCTTTCGGGGTGCAAGTCTGTGTCCGAGCCCCCCGCGAGCCGCAGAGGGCGCAGGGTGCGTGCAGGGCTGTGGGCGGCGGGAGACAAACTTTTGCAGAAGCGCGCGGGGCCGGCGGCGCTGGGGCGTCTTGGTTTAGCGGGAGGCTCGGCGCGGGGCTGCCGCGGGGACTGCGCGCCGTCAGCTAGGTCCCCCTGAACTGTCCATGCTTCTTGGGGGGGGGAGTAGGGGGGGATGCGTAAAGGACCCACAAATCCCGCCGAACCCCAGGAACTGTCAAACGTCTGCCATCCCTCACCTCCCTTTCCCTCTGCCGAGGAAAAAGGTGAAAACCCTTTAACTTTCCTTGGATGGTTCCTCCCCGCCTCGGGACCCCTCCCGGAAGGGTAAACGGCCCACCCCCAGGATCCGGGCAAGTAAGGACAGAGACTCCGAGCTCCTCGGGGTCCCCTTGCACCCTCCTTCCTGCCCCCCACAACCCCTCTTCTCCCCCCCCCACCACCACCCCCAGACGTCCTTTCTTAGGGACCGCGGGACAGAGGCCACGGAGACCCTGGCGAATGGCCTTTTGTTTCTCTGCGTCCCCCCTATTGTGTGCTTTCCAACATCTGGCGGGGCCAGGGGCGACCAGGCGGCCCCGGCGCCCTCCGCTCCCGCCCCCGCCCGCCACCGGCCCGCCCGCCCGGGATCCCGCCCCGGCCTGCGGTTAGAGAGAGGGCGGAGGGAAAGTTGTTCCTTCCCCGCCTCCTGGCCGCCGTGGCCCCGGGCGCCTTTCTCAGATCTTATCCCGAGCGCGCAGCGTGGGGCGCAGATCCCTCCCCCGTGGGGCGCGGGTCCCCCCACAGGGGTGCAGCTTTCGAGAGTGGAAGCGAGGTTCCACGTCAACCCGGGGTGTCCTTTGGTGGGTTCCGGCGGATTTCAGCCCCCGCAGCCGGAGGGGACCAGGGCACCCAGGATCTGAGATGTGGAGTTTCCAGGGCTGCAGAGCAGGCGAGTAGCCTTGAAGACAGCGAGGAGGGAAATAGCCCAGGACGCCTCAAGCCTTTGCCCAGAAGCCACGGGGAGGTGGCTCCCTGCAGAGGGAACGTGGAGTCCGGATTGCGCTCAGGGTTCCCAGTTTGAATCTCAGACCCCTCCCCGCCGTTAGAAAAGCTGGGCACAGCGCAGAGGCCGCCCTGACAGTGTTCGCGCTCCCATGTGCGGACCTCGGGACCCGCCAGGAGTGACCTGTGGGTGTGCGGCTGCTGAGTCACAGGGGGCCTCTGGTCCTGCTTCCCCCCACAAGTTAGATGCTTACACGCAGTGCTTGTGCTTAGTGAGTGTGGGCTATTTACTAAGGAGCCAGGGCAGAAGCAAAGCAGTCACTTGGAGAAGGCAGGGTCCTCCCAGGAGGGTGCCTGGTAAGTAGCTCTGCCTGCGAGGAGGCGGAGTCTGTGCACCTGTTGCTAAGATACGGAGAGCCACACATTTACCGGGGTTGCCAGTGTTTCCTGTGAGATGGCCAATGGGCCCCTCTTCCTAGGAGACTGGGTTACAGTCTTCTTATCTCCCTCCTCTTAACCCCTACCCCAAGCCAGGGGCAGGGGGAGGGTTCCATCTGAACGCTTCCACCTGGGTACCCACTTGTGCATTTTAAGTGAACTTGTCTTTGCAGTTCTAGAAGTTTCCCCTGTACCTGACCCACAGGACTTGGGCACTCACTCTTAGCAAAGAACCAAGGAGCCTGCTGAGTCGGGAAGGCGGACACACAGAGCACTTTCTCCAGCCATTTCAGGATTTTACTAGTGGGACCAGCAAAAAGAAAAAAGTAAAATCTTTGAAGCACCTGAGGCACTTTGCAAACACTTCATGATGAAAACGGTCCCCAAGGAAGGGTTCCTTTGGAATTTAGCAGCAGCTGCTGCAGGAGAGAAGCGGCAACAAGGAGCTGGGAGGCTCTCAGTGCCCAGAGGCATCCTTAACAGTGTGACCTGCACTGCTTGGCCCCAGCTGCCCCAGCAAGGAACGCAGGGTAGTTGTAGTGGAAGATAAGCTTTACGGTTTCTTTAATTTTCGAATGAGACCCCCTCAAAATTATTGTAGCGAATAGAAAATACAAAGAGGTGGAATAAAACCAAAGGGAGCAGAAATGTTATAAACAAGGCCCCAGTGAACAGTCTTCTCCAGTGATTTCCTTGGAGTAAATTTCTGGAGATAGGAGAGCTAGGTCAAAGGAGTTGCTGCCTTTTTAGGGTATTTGATTGCCTTATTGTCCTGGAGGAACTTGTGCCAGCTGACCCTCTCCCCAATAACAGACAGAGGATTTTTTCCTCTCACACTCTGTAGTATTCTTTTCCATCTCTGCCAGACAGATGGGAAGGAAGTGTCTTACTGTTCTCCTTTTGCATTTTTTTAAATCATAAATGAGATGAAACACACTATCTGTGAGTGTTTCTTCCTTAGAATGTGTCCTTAACTGTTTTTCAGTGGCCTTGGGGTGTTTTATTTTGTTTTGTTTTGTTTTCCATCTAGTGGTGCTCTTCGCAAAAGCATTCTGTTCTGACTTCTGTCCCTGCCCACACGATCTGTATTGACTTGAAGTGCCAATTCTCTTCCCTCTTGTACAGCAAGCATTTGGCAAGGCTGCGAACATCAATTACTAAAGTGACTGACATGATCCCAACAGAGTCATTAGAAAGGCCATGCAAAGGCATTGTTAGAGAAATTCATGGAAAACCCAAGTGTATACTTTCTGATTAGTAGCTTGCACACCCAACTACTTTGATGCTTGCAGTACTATTGTGTGTGTTTTTGTTTGTTTGTTTTATTTTGTTTTGTTTTTAATAGAATGATTCTGTTGATAAGATGTTTTACTGAGTGGATGTTATTAACTCATTTTATGGTTCCACTGATAACCAGCATACCATGATCCACAACTTGTTCCTTTAGTTATTCTTTTTGACTGAAATTTGCCTCAGTTTTAGCATAAGACTTCCCATTTGGCTATACTGTTTGAGTCCTATATGTGGATGAATCTTGAATCTAAGCAATTTGGCAGCACCCTGTTAAAACAAATAGCAGGAGGTCTCTCCCAGGGGCTGAACCAGGTTCTTTTTACCCTCTTTGTGAATTTGTGTAGCTGCAACCTCGATGCCGGTTCTTGCTTGAAGGTAGACAGAGGATTCTGAAATGGGTTGGAGGAGAAAGGAAGAGAAAGTTCATGTCAGCTAGATGGTAGATTAATATAGATGAGAAACCACATAAGAAAAATTAAATAAATAATCTAGGTAAAACTGGGTACAAAATAACTTCTAGAGAGATAAAATATATTAAAATATCATGTATTATTAGAATAATTTACTTAACACTGAGAAAGTGATCTTCTAATTGGGAAAATACAATATGAAATTCTTCCAGAGTATGACTGTGGGCCTTTCATTTCAGACACACGAAACAATGAAGTCAGACACTACACTTTTCTGTATTGTTTTCTGCCCCTTTAAATGTAGAAGTGGAATAATATGCATTAAGAATGAACAGCGTTGTCTGCATTCGAGTCATGGGCTCTCAAAGGTTAAACCGGATCTTAATGTTCATATAATTCAACCATCCAATACGAGAGAGTGGATCTTCACTCTCCTACAAACTTCATATCATTTCAAATAAACCAAGCTGAGAAACAAATGGGCCAGAAATGTCAACCTTTCTTCTTTCTTTTTTTTTTTCTTTTTGAGAGCAGGAAGAGAAAGGGAGGGTTTTAATTATGGAAGTTTGTATAAGCTCTTTAAACAAGTTGAACTTCAGACTAAACAACCTGGACAGCAAGAGGGCTCAGTCCTTGAGGTGATCCATTTTCAGACATTCTCTGACCCATGCTCTCTAGCCATTGGCTTGGTGAAGTTGAAAGGTGAGATTCAAAGCACGTACAACATAGAAAAAGGAGAGAGGAGTGGAGAGCAGGAGATGGAGAGGGAAGAGCATTCCTTTAAAACTTTGTCATGAGACTCTTGGCCACCCCGAGGACGGTGGGCATTGCCTCTCTCAGAGAGGTGAATATGGCTGGTGTTGCAAGGCCAAACTTGAGAGACAGTCAACATTACAGATGCCACCACCAATCCAGCCGAGAGCAGGCTGAAAGAATAGCTCAGCAATTCTTAAAAGCTAATAAAGGGGGAGGAGATTTTGGAGAGAAACGAAATGTTAGTTTAAAAAAAAAAAAAAAAAAAAAAAGAGATCTACCTTATTTCCTCCTGGGTAGTTCTATGAGTTTCTGGAAGTAGTAGAAACATCTTTTGACTTCCAGTTGGACGATCTTCCAGGCGCAGTGACTGTACTGCTTGTCCTGCAGGAAAGTGCTTATCCTGTGGAAATACCTCCTCAGTTCTAAGTTGCTGGGCCAGGGGGTCCTAGGTCCAGGGTGTCCCCTCTCATCCTCCTCCATCTCTTCCTTGTCTTCACGTCCCTGCTTTTCTTGCAAGCATTGTTCCAGGTACTGCAGCTGCCGGTGAAGTCCGGTTTGGATTTGTTCCAGGTGTTCCTCTTCCCATGTGGACAGGAAGGTGGGTTGGGTGAAGATGCTGAAGGTCAGCATGGCCATCTCATAGAAGGCCCCCTGGATATCTCTTTTCAGAAGAGGCTGGGTATGGGATAGGACCTCTCGGGGCAACTCGAAAGCTCTGTTTTCCCGTAGGCACCGCAGAGGAAATGATCTGCTCATATTGGTCAGAAGCTTCACATTGTGCCAGGTGATTCTACGCAGATGAATATGCAGCAAGTCACAGCCCAGAGAGAGGGTGCCGGTGATGAACAGGCCTATGAGGCACGCAGGCCACACACACTTCCGAATCACCTCTGGCTTGGATTTCATTTTCCTTCTAAGCCAAACGATTCACAGTATTCGCGATTCGCTACGCTGTGCTAGGTCTTCGTGTACCTTTTATACACCTGAATATCTTCGGTGGGGAGGAGTTTTCTGACTTGTCATTGTATGGTTCTTCGGGTTTCGGCCCCTTTCCTTTACCTCTGAGGCTTTTTTTTTTTTTTTACTTTGGATGACTACATTGACTTTGGAAATTCCTAGAAGCCCGGGTGATCCATTTCAGCACTATAGAACCGAAGTAACAAGACTGATGCAGAGTGTTTGCGAAAGAACTGAGGGCTGTGTCTCTATACACTCACTATGACATACGAGAAAGGGTTCCTCCAAGAATTTAGTTAATCATAGGCATTGACCAGGTGACTGTGATTATTTGATTGTAAGGCTAATCTTGTAAAATTAAGCTTCTAGATTTGGATATTTTCTGTTTTTACTTGATTTTTCCGGGCCTCACAAAAGATTAAAAAAACAACAACAGTTGGTCAGTTGATCATGGCACTTATCAAATAAAGACTAAGCGGGCTGGGTTTTCTGTTGCATTTAGAAAATGTTGATATTCTTTATATATATATGATTGATTTTTAAAGTCAGGAAGGGAGAGGGATAGAGAGTTAGAAACATTGATGAGAGAGAAACATAGATCAGCTGCCTCCTGTACACCCCCTACTGGGGATGTGCTTGCAACCAAGGTACATGCTCTTGACTGGAATCCAACCTGGGACCCTTCAGTCTACAGGCTGTCACTCTATCCACTGAGCCAAACCAACTAGAACAGAAAATGTTGATATTCTTTTGTTGTTGTTGTTAACCCTCACCAGAGGATATTTCACCCCCCACCCCCATTGATTTTTTTAGAGAGAGTGGAAGGGAGGTCGGAGAGACAGAGAGGAAGAAACATCAGTGTGAGAGACACATCGATTGGTTGCCTCCTTCCCACATGTGCCCTGACAGGAACTGGATGAAGCCTTCCCAGTAATCAAGCTGCCACCCTTTAGTCTGAGGGCCGATGCTCTAACCACTTAGCAACTGGCTGGGGTAGAAAACGTTGATATTCTCTGAGTATTCTTTCCTTTACTTAAAACGGAACCAGTGCTTCCATCTAATAAGACTCAGTTTCAATTCAGTTGAACATAGAATACAAGGTAATTCAATATACTATTCTTGAAACTTTTCATTAAAAAAACATATATATTTATATGAATACACACATATATTTTTAATTCTCACATAGTCTCTGTAAGGTGCAAAGCACATCTGAGGGCAACACCTTCTTGTATACCTCACGTAACAACTTCTAACTTATGGCTGTTGTTAACCATCTTTACATTCCCTGTACAGTTTTGTCATTTTATTCCCTTCACCCCAAATTTTCTGCTTTTATAGACATTCCACATCATATCCTTATTTATTGCAAACTGTAGTTTTAGCACGTAGCACATGCCAGTCACTGGGCAAGGACTTGAAGAAGGAGGGGTAAGGTAGAGTCCAGGACCTTCAGGGGTCTGTGATGGAGCAAATAGGCATGCTCAAGTGTTTCGGGGAGCAGGCATCATGGATAGGCCCTCCCTGGAGCAAGAACCTCATTCCCCAAGTTCCATAAATGTTAACTGATGCTGATGTTGACAATATTCATGACAAAGAAGAAAAGATGATTGACATGCATATCTTTCCCATTGTCAGTATGGCCTGATTTAGCAAATAAAAACATAGAACACGCGTGCAATATTTGGGATGTACCTATAAAAGCATTCAATGTTTATTCCACAATTTTACCTGGCAACCCTTTCCACCATGCAAGCTCCCACTGACCTATAAAGCGGAAGTCAGACTTGAAGTTCTCTGCAGGAAGCTTGTCCTCTGCTAGCCGTCCCCCTGGTGCACAGGTGCATTCAATTGTGCTTCTCTGCACCAGCTTTACTGTGTACATATCACAACAACCATGTGCACTCCAAAAGGGGAACTTGCCATGTTGACACAAAATAGTACACACACACACACACACACACACACACACACACACACACGCTTAAACAGTGGCTCTGATCAGAAGCATTATTGGATGATCAATCTTTAGTCAGACCTCTGTTCCGTCAAAGCCATCTCCTCTGAATATATCTCAAAATCTACACTAATAAAAGAGAAAGATGCAAATTGACTGTACTTTCATGATGCCCACCAGCCAATCAGGAGTGAGTATTCAAATTAATAAAAAAGATGGCAGGTTAATTTGCATACACAGGTGGTGGCAGGAAGTGGATGCTTCCACACTGCCCCAGCTGCTCTGGGCCTCTGGGCAGTGTGGGAAGGTGGAAAGGCGACTCCTGGCTGGAGCAAAGGCAGTGCTGGCAGCCAGGGGAAGGAAGGCCCATTCTTGCATAAATCTTTGTGTATCAGGCCTCTGCTATAATCATAAAATTGAAAGAAACACAGTGTAAGGAAATGTTCTTGTCAAAATGTGTCACAACTGCCCAGCCTGTCACAGTGGGCTATGTGTGGACATGGCTACTGTTTCTCTGACTTCTGTTTTCATTTCTCTAGTGATGTCTTATTATTTACATTAATATAAATGTAAAGCTTTCCTCCAAGGGGAGGCTGGTTGGCAGGGCTGCCCTGTTATTGATGGAACTGTGGGAAGCACATGTGGATCACACAGTGAATAGTAGTGGGCAGGATACGATTTGTTTGACAAAATATCCATGAGACACTTCAGTCTAGACGAGATAACTGATTCAGCTCAGGGGCATTTGGCATCTGCGGGTAAGATTCATTGCTTTTCTTGGAAAGGCAAATTTTAATCCAGCACTCGGGAGTAACATGTTGATCATCCATGTTACTCAGTACTGGAGCGTAAGTCATTCCATTTGGGGTCAGTAGGTGATGGGGCCCAGCAGAGAGCTCAGAGATGGAATGCCTGTGTCCGTGTCTGGTGGTGTTTCCCATAGGACATGGGGACAACAGCCACCACAGAGTTGTGAGCAGCTCTGTTAGCGCCGAAGCCACCCTGGAGGCGCACACAGGTACTCCATTACTACTGGTAGGTGTTTCATTCCTCCGCTTCCACCTTGGGATTAGCCTCTCCTGTGGCCACCTTTTTGGCTCTTCCCCTCTCAGTGATGTACAGGACGTAAACATGTATAAATGACTACACAAGTAATACCTGGATATGTTCTTGTTGTAAAAATTCAAACATGTCAGATACATGAAAGCCTGGCTTGCCAACTCAGCCTCTGCTCATGCCCTGTCCTCCCGGGCAATAGCTACAGGTGTCAGTTTAACTATATTTGATGTAGTTAAGACAGACATTTGATGTCTGTCTCCACTCTAAACACTAAGTTCTATGAGTGCAAGGGCAACAACTGGCTTGTTTGTTGCATCCTCTCTAGTGCCCAGCAGACCCCAAAGAGATCAGGAGAGACCTGGACTACTATCATGGATGATGTGTGGCTGGGGAGTTGGGCAACTTGTATATATATATTTAATTACCAAAGCAGGGCTATAAAAAAAAGTGTAATATGCTTTGAAGTTTAATCCTGTAAGTGTATCTCTGTGACTGTTTATATGATATCCTTTGGAAAGAACATAAATAATCTACAATATCAACCCATCGTGAATTTGAGGCCCAGGATTAATGGGCCACGAGACCTGATTCAGAAGGACCCAGGTGCCTATCTTGGCACCTGGCACTTGGTGTGTACTCAATAATTACTTGTTGGATGGCTAGCTCCAGGTGATGGCTGACAGTCCTTGGTGTTCCTTGGCTTGTGGATGCTTCACTCCAAGGAAACCATGTGTCAATAACAGGGGAGTTATGTTGGGGTTTAGTTGTTGTGGTCAAGGGGTACGGGGAGGACAAAGTCAGGTGCTGAGGACAGCGGAGTCCACAGAATGGTACATGGCAGCACCGGTGTCCACTTGTGTCCTCTCTCACTCCCATGGCTGTGCTCTGAGATTCCCTGGTGCTGGCTAGGCCAGGAGCACCTTGATGCTAGCGGTAACACATAGTTTTGCACTGTTTAGCTGACTCATGTGTCTTTCCCTACTGACGAGAAAAGTGTCTTAGTTTTGTTTTCATGGCATCCCTTCCCTAAGAGACTACCTGCTTGCTGACTAAAAGATTGCATGCGATTTGTTATGTTTTTCAATTTTGGGTATTAACCTGTGAGGCGGAGCTGCTGAGAGGCGATCAGATCATCCCTTCTGCGTCCACCCCCAGGAGTGCCACTTCTGATTGTAAATGCTCCAATGAGCTGTCATTGATTGTATCATCTCACCCAAAGAGAGACTCTTGGGGCAAATTTACTCTTGGTTCTATTTTTAGCCCAGCTGCGGGTTATCCCTACAGTAACTTCCTACACAGGAGTCATTGGGGCTCTAAGAAAATGACCCCTGATCAAAAGGAATTTAACAGGGTGGAATAAGCATTCTATGAAATGAATACACACCATCGGCAAAACCTACCCTCAGTTTTGGGATTCCCACAGCAGCTTCCATCCATGTGTTTGTCCCACTGTTGTTTCTCTTGGTCCATTTAAACCGCAATGGGGATTTCATTTATGAGAGCATAATGTTTCAGATGTTGGCAATGAAAGATCACATCTTCGAGAATAATCCTCCACTTTACCCTCTGAGTAGATGTAGGTTTCTTCCCAGACCACACCAGAGAGTGCCTGTAGTCTGGAAAGAAATGACAAGCGTGGCATGGGTGATGGACAGGGATGTCCACGTGTCTAAGATAAATATTTTAAAAGGAGTCGTCACTATTGCATAAATGAGGACAGTGTCTTTTAATTCCTATCAGCTTGTATGTGGTCATAAGGTTTCTTGACACACAAAAACAAGATAAAGAACAACAACAACAAAAAAGCATTATTATGGAAAAATTTAAGTGAGCTTTTTTTTTTAGACAGACAGAAGATTCACATGCTTCACATTTTAGGGTTTATTTTTTATTTATTTTATTTTTTTAGTGTTTGAGCAATGCCTGAGTTGGG